GAACAAGCACAGAACCCACATCTGCCTAGTGAGTATATTAGGTGATAAAGTACTCCTTGGATATGAGTGAACCGTAGAAGAACAATGACCAAGGTAGGTTCACTTGATCCCATGACAATCTATTGAGCAACTGTTATGATCTCTTAGAATGAAGGCAAGTATGGGGCTGTCAATAGCCCTCCCACTACTAGGAGAAGAGGGCCTGTTGATAGTGGAGCCAGTGTAGCTGAACGGACTAGGGAGACCCATGAAAGTGAGCCCTAGTTCTGATGGCACTGTGAAAGCACCTGAACCCCGAGATACCTACAGTTGCAATCCATCCCTGGCTTTCCAAAATAAGTGATCCAATTACTTTCCTTTCACAGTAAAGCCAGTTTTGAGTTGAGTTTTTCCCCACTTGCAACCCAAATAGTTCATCCTGGCTGATACAGTGGTTACATTTCTCCTTATAATTCTAGGATTCTAGGTTTATAATAATGATTCCACTCTTTCTACATTTTGGTATTTTTGTTGTAGCCTAATAACAGTATTACTTGCCTCAAAGGCTTTCTGTCCATAAAATAAAAGTAAACAAAATAATCACCTTTATTCAGTTAGTAGGCTTAATTGCTTAATTCATCCCAATAATCTGAACTTTAATGGTGACTAGAGATCTCTCCGGAGGACAAAAATACTTGGACTTTGTGACAGGCCTTCTCTGTTGGAAATGTCTGCTTATGTTCTGACTGCTACTCAAAAGTACAAGAAGACAGGAAAGGATGTATTTATATCGATATGCTGTGGCGGGGGATATAGCTCAGTGGCATAAGTGTCTGCCTGGCACGCGCAAGTTCCGAGTTTGATCCCCGGTACCGCCGGGAAAAAAAAAACAAAAACCATATATTGATATGCTGCCTACCCAATAACAAAGCTACAAAACTTGTTTGAATTTTTCATCCTCCATGTAGATGCTTGGCCTAACATAGATAAGGCAGTATGAATGTATATTAAATTTTTATACAAATAGAAAGCCAAAACAAGAACATATAAATAGATTTTCAAATAACATGTTTAGTTGTATTACTGACTTCTATCGCTTTACCGAAAGGATCAGTTAATGATTAATTATTTGATCAATCTTGCATGTCTCTATTTGTTTTCCTGAGAAACCACTTTGAAGATATCAATATGTAATATGATAACCATTGTTAATTTCCTACCACTTTGTCTGTAATTCAGGATTGCTTGTATTGTTCTTATGCTATTTTGTAAATGGATGTCTATTTGTTAAGATATTTTCCTTCTTTCATTTTTAAAATAAATTTTAAAAATAAAAAATAAAAAAGTAGTACATTAGAAACTATTACTGTACTCTACCCAGACTAAGTATCCTTTGTCTTGATCTAGGTTCATAAAATATGGATCTAAAAATTTTCACCCATAAACCTCATCTGTAATTTTTTGGTTCACTCATTCACTTAGTTTTTCTTTATCAGAAAAATGGAGGAAATAGAGCTCACTGTCTGACAATGAGGAAACAACATTAAGCCAGTATTTCCGAGTCTATGCCCACTGAGCTAACTATAATATCAGCATATGATTAAATAAGGCAAAAATTCTTAAAATTCTTAATTCTTAAGTGAATTCTTAAAATGTTGCATCTTACTCTTTGGCTGTGAACGCATTTGTAGGCAATTACTTAAAATTAGAATGAAATATCACTTAATAAGTAGAGTTTGGCAAGTTTCTAAAACACAGAATTTAGGAAGCACATTACTAAAAAGGGGCCTGAGCTGGGCACTGGGGCACGGCTGTAATCCCAGCTACTCGAGGTTACGAGTTTCAGGCCCACCCCATGCAACTAAATGAATAAGAAAGACCATACCTTGGACAGGGTGTAGCAATATTGAGGGTGCAGCTCTGTGCAAAGACCTTGGGTTTAATACAAGTACTGGAAAAAAGTATGTTTCATTATAAAGGTTTGTTTTGCAGGGTTGTACCACTCTTTTCTAATTAAAGGTTTAATAATTTTTAATCTAAATATTAAATACTTCCCTTTTGATTTTTAAGATTCTGTATCTCAAAAAATGAATTAAGGATAACAAGGTAGTACATTAGAAACTATTACTGTACTCTACCCAGACTAAGTATCCTTTGTTTTGATCTATGTTCATAAAATATGGGTCTAAAAATTTTCACCCATGAACCTCATCTATAATTTTTTGGCTCACTCGTCCACTTAATTTTTCTTTATCAGAAAAAAGGAGGAAATAGAGCTCGCTGTCTGACAATGAGGAAACAACAACAAAATATTTCTTAGTTTACATCCTTTACAAAAATCATGCAATGTTCAACACTGCTTATGTCTTTCTCAGAAGTTAAAAAGCAGTGGTTTGTGGAGTAAGCTTGGTCTAGGGATATGTGTTCTATGTTGCCCTTGCATGAAAAGTTTTTTTTAAAATGATCTTTAGACATTTAAACATAGTCTGGTTGTTTGTGAAAAGTGCAATAGAGTGGCTAGAGTTACATCTCTATATGGTTGAGGGGCAGGTATCTCTCTTGGATGAAGCACACAGTGGGATTCTCCACCATCCCACTCTATATTACTCCTGACCACATTGTGAATGTACTTCTACCACCAAGTTCAGTCTATCTCGCTAATATTATTGGGGTGAGGCAGAAGGAGGTGCAGAGCTGTGAGAGCTCAGTTCCCCACTTGGAGAGCAAAGTGTTAATAAGACAGTTTGGGACTAGCCTGGTGATGGAAGTGATAAATAGCAGGAAGTGGGTAATGATGGGGAATAGCCTCAGTTTAAAAATACTTTCAGTGTTAAAGAAACATTGGAGCATAATTGAACACTATTAATCAAGGGAACAATGGAAAAAAAACTGAATAGAGATGTTTGCGGTCGAGTGGTGAGAACAATCAGTTAAAGCCATTTGTCCTATAAAATGCTTACTGTTGTATATATTGGTTCTTAGTTACACTTTCAGTTTCTCAGAAAATGTGCAAAGGGGAAGGGGGACAAGGGAGGGGGTAAAGGGAAGAAATGAAGGGACAAGCAAAACAGGAGAATAGAAAAAAAACCATGAAACAAAGCTTTTGTAAATAAGGAGGGGAAGTGGGGTTGAAGGGAGGTGAGGGGAATGGGAAAAAAGAAGCAAGACATCGTGCACAGGCGCAGATCCCTACGATGGATGGTAACCATATGCGTATCTAAAATGTACCAGTAAAATTAACAAAAAATAAATAAAATGCTTATTACTGACATACTATTCTCCTAAAGGTAATTTAACCATCTTCTGGCAGTGGCTAAGCTATGGCGGTGCTAAGCATTCGTTTACATTAAAACTTGAGGCTGCCTCTTTGCTGGGCACAAAGGTAGATGACAGTTTCCTTTTGGGCTGCCAGGTCTCGTGACTTGTGCGGGCTCATACATCTTTAACAGCCCGTGCGTGCTTGGCCCCTTTCCCGGTGCAGTGGCAGTGCCCCAGAGTGCGCTGCTCCACTGGGTCATCCTTCTAACCAAGCACAGCCACTGCAGGCCCATGCTGGGCATGCAGTGTGAATGAGAAATTGCCTTTTACTGCTGTAGGCCGCTGTGCTGTGCTTATTAATGTAGCACCATTTAGCTTTCTACTTGAATTATAATAATTACTGTATATTCACTCATTTTCAGTTTCTGATACGTCTGTCAATTGCCTGTATTATTATATATTTGAATCACTTTAAAGCCAAAACTTTAAAAATATAACCTTATAAAGAACAATGCCTGTGGGACATACTAATTATATCTCAATTATATTCAAAATAAATAGGTAACTGTTCAAAGTAATGTCACATATCACATTTTAAGAAACACTGAGGTAAAATAGGAGATGAGCCTGATGTTTAAGGCTGCAAAATAAGAAATGAGGCTCCCAATTTTCGAGCTTGTCTCCAAGTGTGAATGTCACTTCAATCTTCAGTGAACTATGCTGCTTCCTTGATAGACCCAGAATCAGAAAGGGATGTATATTATGAATTTAATGAGTGTGAATACACCATCTATCAACCATATCAGGTTTATTTACTACAATCATTAAAAAGGACAACATCATCAGCAAATGATCTAATTGTATATGTAAATTGAAGGTGCACAGGTGTAAAGGGTAGATACACACACACTTACAGGTTTCCTCACTGCATCCTTCAGTACTTGACCTTTAGCATCAATTAAAATCATTATGTATACAAGTGGTAAACCTTGTCTTATGGTGACAAACATAGACTCATGCATAATTACCACTTTCCAGCAGATTGAACAGATTACAAAAAAAGAGTAGGAAAAATTTTAGAGGGGTGACAGCCAAAAAAAGGTCTTAGAGATGTGTGCTATTTTGTATAAACTGATATTAAATTCCAGTAGCCCACATATATTTACACTGTCTAAACAACATGCAGTCTAGAAGTAATTTTATGTGAAATAGCAAATACAGGTGAAGAGTGTAGATGTTAGGAAAAAAGTAGTGTTTAAAAAATGTAATTAAAACAATGAAAAATCAAGCAGAATAACCTGCTAATGAAGAATGAGTTCTGAAATTAGAGAAATTTATACCTTCAAAAATGGGGAGGATAGCAGGGGACAAATGGCTATTTCCAAATATTTGAAGAGTTGTCATAACCGAGAAGCACTGGACTTCTTTGTGTGTGCCAAAGGAGGTAGGAAAGAGAAGAATAGGCAAGTCTATAATGAAATGTGGCTAAAATGAAGGAGACTATTTTCAACTGCTCACTTCCAAGCATCTCTAATAGTTCACACAGGTATCAAGTGCTCACTTTCTGCAGGGGGACTTTGCAGATTCCCAATATTGAGAAGATATATGAAGAACAATAACTTATAACTCCTCTTACAGAACTTCAAGTCTTTGATTAACACTTGGTTCAGGAATAGCAGGTTGCAAAATCCCTCCCCATTTTACTAATAGCCCAACAAATTATTGCAGGTTAACTAAATGTTAAGAATATTTCAAGATAATACCTTTCATTTTCTCTTATTACGTCCCTTCCTTTCTTCCAGGTGTAGACAGGTTTTGGAGAAGCTTTTGGTTTACACTCAATAACAACTTCACCTCCCACTTTGACAAGAGTTACTCTTTTCAAGAGTGTTCTTGAGAAATCTGGACCTGCAGCTAGAAGACAATATAGAAAATAAAATAATGAGGTGTTTTTCTAGAAAAAAGTATGTGGTCATTTTTTTGGTGTTTTTCTTTCTGTAATGCACTTGTTGTCACCTTATTATCAAAGACAGAAAGCTAAACTGCTGTACATACAGAGTGTATCACCATAGCTTTTGATTGGTTAAATAATCTGCAACTTTTATATATTAAAATGCATGACTTATACAAGTATGGCTTCATACATTGCTATACTCTACCCTGAGGATGAAACTTAGCTATGGAATATTCTCATCATTCTACTGAGGATTCTTTTAAAAATGTCACTGATGTTCAAGTAAGCAAACATTTTAAAGTTTCACAGTACAAAAGGGAAAGAAAGAAAACACAAAAATCTATGAGACAATGGTTTTCTAGTTTGTACAGGCTAAAACATCCCCACTCGATATAGTTACTGCTTCTGCTCTGTACCCTAGCACTGTGTGTGTGTGTGTGTGTGTGTGTGTGTGTGTGTGTGTGTGTGTGTGTGTGTGTGTGTGTGTGGTCACTAGAGAGTGTTTTGAAATATCTGTATCATCATCCTCTGTGAGTTTCTCCATAACAAGGGCTTAGTTCAACTTTCCACTACTAGTGCCTACTATGGTGTTTCTTCCATTTAGGAGAAATGGTGACCTGCTCTTGGAGCACAGATGTTTTGGAAACAATAGTACGTGTTCATCACTACCTTAAAAAACCACGCATGCTGATACCAGTTATATAGCTACCCTGAAGTAATATTAAAGAGTAACTGTTTTACTGAAAAAAGATATACTACATCTGTACCCTCACAAAATAAATAAATAAATAAATAAAAATTGCATTTGTGAAAAAAATCTCTTATTTTCTTTTGAATGAACTGAAACAACACGTACAGAGGAATTTTGGCATGAGTGGATTTAAATTTTGTCTCCTTGCAATTTGACCTGGTGGAATTTAAAATTTTAAATCATGTTGAATGTAATAATTTAAATTCAAACCACCAATTCCTTAGATAAGGACTGCGAGTGAGTGCATGTATATGTGGGTGGGGGGTGTGGGCCAATTTCTAAATATACCCAAACCCTAAGCCCGTGATTTTAAAAAATAAAATGTCAGTGGAGGCAATTTAAATCTTTATTAAGTGCTTTTGTGATAGAAATATTTTCAGTAATTGCCTAGAAACAAATTAAGATGGGAAGGTTACTTTTTAATGGGGTGATGCAATGTATATATTAAGCTGGTATGATTCTGTGAGGTGAAATTAAATAAAGAATCTAGCAGTTAATTGATATTACTCTATGTACTTTGAATTTATGAGAGGGGACCACAATTCACAGAGTAATTCTATAGTGATAAACGCAATTATTAAATAGAGTGCAACTGCAGATATTTCTGCTATAAATACATTCCTAGTGTGATCTGATAAACCACATAATAAAAACTATAGGGCTTATGAAAAAGATAGAGTCAGAATAGACCTACTCAATATTTATGTATTAAGAACACTAACAAAACAATAACCATTCTAGTAAATATCAAACAAGAATAAATATAAAGAACCACTGAAAAGACAACCTACATTTATCATAGACAAGTACTGCAAAGAAAAGGGTGAGACTGTGTGTGTGAAGATAGTTTGATGGAAGAAAGAGTCAAGATTGCTAAGCCAAGAAATAAGTGCAAATCACAGAAAAACTGAAAATTACACAAAAGGCCTTGCTGTATTAAAGCTCATGGCCAGACTGTACCAAGAAGAAGACTGTGGGGTGAATGGATAGTTATAGTAGAGGGTTTCTTTTCCCTTCACTATGTTGATCGGTACGAGGCTGTGTCTTTAGTTGCTTGTTCTTAGTGAAATACAGCAGTAAATCACTATCAATGTTAAAGTGACATCATTCTCCCACTTACCGATCCCTATAAGCCAATTTATGTCACAGCAAAGTGTTTTAGCAGGACAGATTCCTTCTCACTTTGGGTAACCATACAAATTTTCACAAAAATGTCAAGAAAAAAGTCAGATCTTCAAGAAGATTTTTTAAAGGATATTTTTTGAGATTGAGTTACAAATATTTCTCATATAAAAATCTTCTCTTACAACTACATTTTTACACACATATTTTTATCACTCTAGGCAGATATTTTTCATCTGTTCAGGAGGAATTCTGCTGTTGTATTTGAAATAAGTTTCTAAATCAAACTATGCAAAACGCATGGGTATATGTGTCAGAAAACGATAGTATTGCTTTCAGAGGATTTGAAATACATGACATCAGACACACAGAGGCAAAAAACACCTTCTAGATTGAGAGGTATTACAAATATTTATGTACATATTACTTTATAGATATCTTAGATATAAGACTAATTTAAATATACTTTATTATGTACATATTACTTTACAGATATCTTAGATATGACTACTTTAGATATATTTTACCATTAAAAATGGAACTATAGATCAAATCTTTTTTGGTTTGTTTGTTTACTTAACTTGTTGGATTTGCATCTGGTATTACCTATGGTGGCAGTGAACAGATTGTGTCAACTTGAGTAAGAATACCTGACTGAATTACTTACTAATGGTTTTCCTTATGCTTACTTACCAATTATCTAGGGAAGCATTTCACTGAGAGAAGCCTCTATGTGATACACAACTATTTGTTTTTTATTAATGAAATGACTCTTGCCTGCATGTCAAGGATATCTTAAGTGGCCAATAGCACCCTTGAAAACAGAAGTTCTCTCTGTGCCTGAATTAGTATCCTTTCTCAAGACAGCGTAGATAACTTCTTACCTGGATGTGCAGTGGCAGTGCCATTTTGGTATGACACGGACGTGATGTTTTACTATGTTACTAAAGAGAAAAGGACAATAATGTGTGCCTGTTCTATCAGAGCTGCTCTTTAGAAACACCCTTGGGAACACAGCCAGTTGATAGAGACCATTAAGGCTGGCCCTTTTGGAAGTTCTGAATTTCATACTACTCTAACCATTATCTATTATCTTTAACCATTAACTCATCATGCCAGCAAAAGAAGCCTAGAATAAATGCATTGATCCACATCTTTCCACCACTGAGTAAGCAGTGCTGCTATCAGATCAAAATACTCGAATTTTTCCTGGTTGGCCTGGTAATTATTTAGAAGGTAGGCTGCGGTGCATAATTCTTTGTCTTTGGGTCCCTCATTTCAGAATGGCTGACTCAAAAAATTTGGCCTCCCTGTTTAGGAACAACATATACAAGGAGACACTTAATAAAACTTTTTTGCTTCCTTCCAGTGTCAGCATGATACATTGCTACTAATGTCTCTAACACCCATTCCCTACTTGTTTTGGTTTAATTCGCTGAAAACACTAAATATCACATAGTATATAACCTTTTAGGATAGTTTTTCACTGAGCATAATGCTCTTGAGATATATGCAAGTGCTTGTGTGTATCAATAGTTCCTTTTTATTGCTGAGTAGTACATTGCAATGTGGATAAAAAAATACTGCTTTAGCCGGGTGTGGTGGCATACACCTGTAATCCCAGCACTCAGGAGGCTGAGAAAGGAGGATCTCTGTGACTCTGAGGCCAGCTTGGGCTACAAAGTGAGCTCAAGGCCAGGCTGAACTGCATAGCGAGACCCTGTCCCAAAAAAGAAAAAAGAAAAAGAAATATCACTTCAATGTTGGCATTGTAGGCTCTACAATAACTGCCAAATACTTTTGAGCACAAGCACCATTTCAAGATCTCTCAGTGCTTTGTCTGCCAACAAGAAGGATCAGGCATAGACGTTTTCCTTCTTATGAAAGGCTTGAAAAGTCAAAAACTAATTATATAAACACGGGAAGAACTCTTATTCCAAGATAAACATTTAAAGCCTTTTTAGAACATCATTGCCTATACAACAATTAACAAGATGTTTAAAAATCTTATATAATGACTTAAGCACAGATTCAGTGACTTATATAATGACTTACATAACGACTTAAGTGTGGATTCAATTGTGAAATGCTGGTAAGCCTCCTTTGACCTATCCTATTTATACAAAAATGATAGATATGTGTTTTTAGAAATCTGTGATTACACGCACCTTATATAAGTCCAAATTAGTGACATTTCATTTTGTTGGGCACCGTGTTCTAAAACCTTACACAGATCTATGTTCTTGGTTAGACAAGAAGTGTATATTGTTGCAACATCATATGATATATGAATAACTTGTTATGTGACACAAGTGTTTGATGAATGAACAAAAAAGTCATCACAATGGAACAGTGAGAATCCTAAAAATCCATGGTTGAGAGATGGTAGTTGTTGTTAATTAGTTCTTATTAGACCATAAGTTCCTTCAAAGTGGCGATGTGTGTCATCTCTTGGACAGAGAAGAACTTAAGATTACTATTTGTCAATAATTTTCTGTTTGTCTGGTAGCTTTTTTGTAGTTCTTCCTAACCATTCTTTCTACATTCCTTAATGCTTCTTTGACTGTTGTTATAGTCTCTTGTTTTCATTCCCTTTCATTTCCCTTTGTATATATCCTGTATATACTTGAGGTTACTATTACAATTATATAACACATCTTATAAGTTATGATAATTTATTTCAAACTGATAAGTTTTTTTTTTCCGATGGTTGTTGTTGAAAACACATAGTAATAAACATACATCCCTTTATGAAATAGCACAGCAACAATAGAAACATTATAGAGTTATGGACAGATTGGTAGGAAATTATCAATGGATAACAAAGAATCTTTTTTTGTTTGTTTGTTTGTTTTCCGGTACCGGGAATCGAACTCACAACGTTGCGCTTGCCAGGCAGGTGCTGTGCCACTGAGCTAAATCCCCAGCCATTCAAACTGATAACTTTTTATAAATTAATTTTATTGGTACACTTTAGATATACATAATGATCACATTCATCATAGGGAGTTTGTACCTATTTTAGAACCAAATTTCAGTTCATAATTTACTGGCTCCAAGGCAGATGCAAAAGCAAATTTTGCAGAT